AAGTGCGATTTATCTTTTTATGAACCTCGTATGAAAATCTTATCTGATTCTTATAAGACACTTACGACTGTCGATGGAAAATCTTAAACAATCTTATATAAGAACCTGATAAGATTCTTATAAGAATTTTATAAGATACTGATAAGAGACTTATAGGTTTCTGGTAAGATTCTTATAAGAATTTTATAAGATACTGATAAGAGACTTATAGGTTTCTGGTAAGATTCTTAAAGAAGCGATCTCTAGGGGAGTAGCCGTCAACCACAAATTTAGTTGCAAAAATGAAAAAATTTGAATTTGCGGTATCCGTTTTAAAAGTTTTCCTATATGAGTCAAAAAAATCACACTTTTCTCCAAATTCAAACAGTGCTCATTAGATTCGCCATCAAAAATGGAACATGGTTATGTAATTTTGGCGAAAGTACAGCGGTCTGAAAGCCTTTAATAGATCGAAAAAGCCATTTTTAACGCCTTTTCCTACAGTTGTTTAGAAAAAAATGAGTTAAAAAAAGCACATTTTTTTGGACTCTCGGCACAGATTCGGCACAGATTCTGAAAGCTGAAATCGCGGCCAGTATGGTGTTATGTGTTTCGAGGTTTGTTGTCGCTTGCCTGAGCATCTAATCTAGGATAAACGAAGGTGAGTCATTTGGGCCACTTTTCAATAGATGGCGGTTTTCTCGGTCAAGAACAAGTTTTTTCCAGATTTTGACCACATATTCGTTATTAGCGTTAAATTCTGCGTCCAGTGATGTGTCACGTAATCACTTTCAAGAAAAAAACTTTTCGATGTTACAAACGGATACCTCAGCCGTAAAATTCTTGAAAAACATGAAAGTGAGTTTTTTGAAAATCTGAATCGACAGTTTTGTTCTGATGCTGATTTCAATCATGTAATTTTTATTCGAAAAAAATTGAGGCCACAAAACCGCCTCCCTCCTTTGCTGCTCTGATTCAAACTTTTCTTTGCATGCCTACCTACGGCTATGGCGTAATCAAGGCTGCTCCTCCGTTTGATGTAATCTTCACCATTTTTTCTATGTTTCTTACAAAGATTTCTTTCACGTGCTTCTTCGTTCTCAAGTTCTTAGGTTTGACAAACCTTGGTTTTTTTTTAAACCTTTGGTAGCGATCCCGTAGAAGACACATTCGCTCATATTGTACTTTAGCATATTTTCTCACTGGTTAGTTTCTTCAAAAGCTTCAGTTTCATGCAATTTGCCTTTAGTCCAGACTAGGCATGCAACCATCCCAAGCTAGGGCTCGCTGATCGGCAACGCACATGTTCAGTAGCGAACCGTTCGGTAACAATCCGTTCGGTGCCGATTAGCCATTCCTAGTTTGGGATTGTTGCATGCCTACTTCTGACATGGTCACCCATTTTGTTATTAGTCATCAACCACCGCTCTGAACAGAAGACTAGCTTGACACAAATTTTTCTTTTGAAAAATATTTTGCATAGGGAATGAACGTTATAGTTGTGACAGATAGAGATGTCGTCCAAGTAGCTCAGTGGTTAAAACATAGACACGGAATGTCAAGGACCTGGATTCGAATCCCAGCCTCTATAAACTGCTATAGAATGAATCTTTTCTGTATAAACTGCTGAACTAAAAACCAAAAGTTTTCAATATGTCTTAACATACAGCGACCTCACTTGACTAAGTGTATATATGTCGCGCGGAAATTAATACTTCGACAAAATTTTTATTGAAATATTAACTTCGGTATGTCATACGAAAAATTTGTGTCAAGCTAGTCTTCTGTTCAGAGCGGTGGTTGATGACTAATAACAAAATGCGTGCAGAAGCTTGTTAACTGCACGAGAGATATCAGTAAGAGGAAGAAGAAAGATCCCCCTTACGAAAAAAAACAAGGTAACGCTCGTCTCCACTCGCTCGGTCCCTTGACTTTATTAAGTTCGATCTGCGCAAGCGAACACCCTTTGATGACTTATAAATCGAACACAATGCTCACGCCTCCCTTCGGCAGTCGTTCGCTGGGGCCCTAACTAAGGCATCTTCTGGATTTCTTTTCTTTTTTTATGTATAAGGTTCGTAATCTGATATAAATATATAAATCAAAAGTCTGTAGAGATCCAAACATATTTCTGAATTCAAAACAATGTTTACACCTCCCTTCGATCGACGCTCGCTGGAGACCTGCCTAAGAGATCTTCTGGACTTTTTCTGCTTTCGTGTGTAAGGTTCGAAATCTAATATGAATATAAAGAGCAAAAATCTCAAGAGCTGTAAAACTATTTCTGAATTCAAGACAATCCTCACGCTTCCCTTTTGTCGGCGTTCACAACCAGTATAGATAAGAAATGCTATGAACTTCGCTGGTTCCACCGGAAAACCATCTAATGTAATATAGAGCTAAAAGGTTTTCTGCACTCCCTCTGCAGATCCCAAGGAGCTTGGAAGTATTTCTAATTAATTCGTTATAACAGATTATCTATACACTGTCAATTTTATTATCCGTATACCACTCTTTTTGTATTGTCACAGTTGACTGCTATCTGGCGACATCTACCCATGGCCTACAGAAAACGTTTACTTAGCTCTTTACCTCTCTGCATCAGTAGATATTTCAGATGAGAATATTTTCTCTCTTATGTAAAAAATAATTTTCTACTTTTGTCTCTTGTGATTCGCTTATCCATAGAATATCTGACAGCCATTTTTCCGTATTTTGCGCCACACACAGAGTCTGTGTGTGCGCAAAATAGTTGTCTGTGTCACAGACAACTATTTTGTAAGGCCTTGTCTACACTGGTGGTGACTATTTTTACTGACCGACTGACTTAACTGACCAAATTTGATTGGTCTATCCCATGGTTACACCAATCAAATTTGGTCAGTAAGGTCGGTCGGTCAGTAAAAATAGTCACCACCTCTACACTATAAAAGTTAAAGGAGCTTTAAGTAATTCTGTTGGCTAAAAGTTAGTTTAAGCCAACAGAATTGCTTAATGCTCCTTTAACTTTTAGACAGGGCCTAAGACCCTAGACTAAAGTCAAGCGAACTAAAAAGTCACCTACAAGCGGTTTTCGACGAAGAAACAAAAGTTTTGCTAGAATCGTGAACAGCACATTATTCGACTCAACTTTTAGCGCTGATTACGAATATCACCTTTATTTAGCTTTGAAAACGCTTTTGCGCCGATTGGTTTTCAGTTTCAGTTTTTTGAGATTTTAGTCATCAGTACTTCACTGATAAACATAAATAAAGTGATATTTGGAAACAGCGTCAAAAACTGCATCAGATGATGTGCCTTTGAAATTTTATAGCGAAATGAAAAATTTTGTCAAAATTTGCTCCGAAGCTGGAGATAAAAAACCGAAGAATTGTCAAAATTTTTCATTTCTCTAAAAATGTTCAGGGGCACATCATCTGATGCAGTTTTTGACTCTGGTTCCAAATATCACCTTATTTTTGTTGGGTCAGAAGTGACATTTTCTGGAAAATTTTGGCCCTTCAAAATCCGAATTCTCCAATTGTTTTGGATTTTAAAGAGTCACTTCCTACTTTAGAAAAATTAGGAACTACGTGATTTTGTTTACTTTTTATCAGGCTTTCAAATGAGATGTTGCTCGAACAGAACAGATAAAAAATGGCGAAGTTATAGTCAAAATATCAGAGATGGCTACTTTTCGCAAATCGACGGTGATACTCATTTTGTAAATTCTATAACTCAGTCAGAATAAGCCAGAAAGTTTTTTCATACTTTTCATAATCCCAGTTTTGATAGGAGAATCCGACTATGAAATAAAAAGTACAGATCAATTTTTCACTCGTGACTTGATTTCTTGATAGGTTGGCGAACCGTCTCTTAATATCTCTTCAGTCTGTTTTTACTGTAAATATTTTCATTTTCTCCTCTAGTTTGCGAACATTTATTCATGCAGAAGCAGACAAGTGTTTGCAGTTTAGAGTTACCTTTTTCAGAAATATTAATTTGGCATTTTGGTTTCTTATTACTTGCAAGCGAACAAACAAACAGAAATTTTAAATGACACTCCTCTATCACGTAAAAAAATTAGCAAATTTCGAAATCATTAGAAACTGTTTCTGCTAATTCTCCATCTCACATATTCTAATTCTTTTACTTAGATCGAAACTGTACACATTTTCGAAGATGGCCAGATCAGTTCCTGTTATTCAATCTGATAGAGAAAATCTAATTAAGTTTGTTACCATGCTCGTTTACAGGTCTATCCATGCATTTTCTTTCTTCTTCTGTCTAAATAAACACTTTCAAATATGCTTTCTGTTCGTGATATGTTATTAGTTCTATTTGCCATCAGTTATTTCGTCAATGGAAGATTCGCACGGCGCCATACTACAGTTGGTCTACTTGTACGAGTTATTGCGAAACCAGGCAAAGAAGATGAACTTGAAACATTTCTAAAAGATGCTTTGACATTGGCCGAAAGTAATCATTCACGCCGGTGTGGTTTGCTTTGAAGCTGGGTAATGGTGTTTTTGGGATATTCGATGCTTTCGAAACAACCGATGATCGTCAAAAGCATTTGTCTGGTGAAATTGCAACTGCTCTTTTTGAACAAGCACCGCATCTGTTGGCTGTTCAACCTATTATTGAACAAGTTGATGTTTTAGCATCCAAATCAATTGTTGCACAAAAAACGTGAAAATTTCTCATGTACATATGCAAGCATTTTTCCCATAATATTGAACTGATAGAACGTGTGTCATTAAAGATATAGGCTCTCTCCAAGATGATGAACAACAGACGTAAATATAATTTAGCAGCATGAAATAAAGAAGAAAAATAATTTCAAAAACGAAATAATCGTCAACCGACGTTTGAGCGCCCGACACTTGAGCGACCCCGACATTACACACTTTTCAATATGACTTTTTGCCGATCAGGAAAGTCGAATGATTATTCACTTCGATAACGATGATCAGAACAATTTTTTTGTCGTCCGATTATGAACTGAATTATTTGGAGATCTGTAGAGGGTGAGGCTGCGTAGGGTGAGGGTGAGCACTTGGTGCTGAACTGTCGTTATTACTCAAATGACGGGCGCTCAAACGTCAGTTGATCCGAAATAATAGTATACATCAGTGTGATCTAGCTTTTAGTTTGAAACACGCTTTTTCTACGATGATTCAGTATGCGGATGACGAATCTGATAACCCCGTCAGTAGATCGATTTTGGATAAGCCGCTCTCTTAACATCTATCCACATTCTTAGTTGACGGAGATTTCTAATTCTCAGGTTTAAGCATATGTCGAGCTGCGTACAGGGAGAATTGATTCATACACATACATGGAACTTATGAGAAGGAAAAAGAACTTTTTCGGGCTCATCTTCAGCTGGGAGAGAAGAGAATACATTTTTTTTAATTACATTGATTGAAATTTTCTTCATGCAACCTAGCACTTTTCCTTGCTGCTTCATCATGAATTTTTTGGAAATTTTGTGCATACAATTGCACAATACATGAGAGTGAGTCAGCTGCTAATATTTCTGCAAAGAGATAGTATTTGTTTATGGTGTTAAGGGTGATGGAACTGGATGCGCTGAAGTGTCGGTGGATTCGCGAGACAACATTTCCACGAACGATATTACCGCGAACAGGACCCCGACTCTTCGGCGAATTTTTCATAGTATACACTTGGGTATGTTTGTCAGTGTGTCATGAAAGGTGGGGGGTGTTGTCACTGTGGAAGTGAGTTCTAACAAGTGGTTTTACACAAAACATATTTTCATGATACGAAACTGTATATCTGTAACTGTATCACATAATAACCATTTACCACATAACGTCGCTCGCGTTTCATGTCGTTCGTGGAAATGGCGGCGTATCGATGAATTAATTCAAGCACTTCATGTTCTCCACAATATAATGAGAAAATTTGAATTTATTGGTCATTTGATAATTTCTTCTTTTCTATGATGTCAAAGCAAATGTTCTCGAAGCTTATGGTGAACATGAAGAAAAGTGAGTCAATTTTGAATGCATATTCATGGGTATATTAATTATATACTTAGAGTGGTGGTGGTTCAGTCTCTATTTGTTTGCTAGTTCAGTAATTTTATTTAGAAAATGACTAGGCCACATAACTCTTATATCCGAGTGTAATTGATGCTATTATGTTTTTTTGCCTTTTGTTGCTTCTATAATTCTCGGGTACTACTAAAAAAAATCGAACATACATGAACACCTGGTACCTTGAATTTGGTGCCTTTTGTTCGTCAGATGTTTCTATACTTAGTTTAACGAGCTCTATCGATTGGTTAACTCAGATTTTAATTTGGGGGTGTTCGCGTATTTTAGTCATACTCATAATTCTCAACAAACGTTCAGAGTTCTGCAATGTCCCATATCAATATGGCAAAAGTGTAAACTGTTACTTTTCAAAACTTATCTGAAAACGTAGCATTTCATATATATTATAGCATATTTTTGCTATAGTGTCTAAACAAAAGAGCGTGTAGAATGTGCGAAAATCTCAAAATATTCAGTACACTCTTCTCTTTGATATGAGTTGTTGCAAAGCTTTGAGTGTATCTTCATTTGAGAATTATAGAAGAAATGCAAAAGAAAAGTGTGCGAAACTGCATCGCGGAGTATTAGAGTTACGCCACGAAGTCGAAAAGTTTGTAAAGTGTCGAAAATGCAAAAAGTCAGCAAAATTTACTTTTTATTTTTTGACATCCCTGGACAGAGCTAATCAAATCGGTTAAGAAAATATCGTTTTAAAGTTTTTCAACTTAACTTTGTAGGTTAAAAAAGTCGAAT